CTTGTTGATACTTGAGTGATTTGCTGTCAGCTGTTTTACCTCTGTTCTATCTGACACCCACGCCTGGCTTCCTGTGCCCCTCCTTCGCAGCGTCTTGCCACACTGTTTCAGCACTATTTTTTAATACTTATGAGGAAGTCAAAAGTCAAAGTTGGAAGCTAAAAGTCAAAGTTGGAACTCCAGGTCACCAGAGTGAAATGTCACGCTAATATAAGTTTTATAAGGTCCATTCTTTTAAGACCACCTAACCTGGCCAGCCACTGGTGGGTTTACCTGTGCACCCCCTCCTGCATCAAGAATAAGAGATAGAAATAAGAGAAAAGGGAAATATTCGTGTATGCACTTTTGTATAATAAAATAAGAGCAATATTAAGAGGAAACATGGAATAGTAATTGAATAATGGCCAATTGCAACTTTCTATAAATATGTACTACTATTAGGAACAGATAAGTTGGTTGAAAGTAATAACTATGACTAATGCTATTAGTTTTAATTTGTATTAGAATGTATGATACCCCGGTGCCACACCGTTGACGCATTGATGTTTGTAAAAAATAAAAAAAAAGTAGAAAACTTATATACATAAAAAAGTTAAACCTCAATTAATGTTGGGGAGAAATAAAACGAATCAATAAAACGGCAGAGTTCGCTTAACAAAGGCCAAGTTACTTTACGACGTTGCAACGGAAAAATGACTTATGACCACTTTTCACATGAGCATCGCAATGTCCCTGCGGTCACGTGATTGGGATTCAGCTGCTTGGCAACTGACTCGTATTTACGACGGTTGCGGTGGTGTCCCGGGGTTATGCGACAAGCGAGGCCGAAGAGGAAGACGGATTCACTTTGCAACCCTGTTACTAATTAAACAGCGGCAAGGATTCCATTGTAACCGCGGCAAGAAAAGGTCGTAAAACGGGGCAAAAACTCACCTATACGACTGTGTCGTTCAGCAACAGACATTTTAGGCTCCATTGTGGCTGTAGGTCGAGGACTTCCTGTATAGTTTCCCCCACCTGTCTGTGAATGCTAATATTCATCATGTTTGAAGTCGAAAATAGATTTAATAAGAAGAAACACATAGGATAGAAAAGCCTCCATACCTAAACTATATTTATTAAGTTTATTATGGCTTCACACGCAGAACACCCGTAAATACCCCAGAAGACTCTGGACCAATGGACTCACAATCTTGGCAGCTTGTAGATGGGCAAACTTCAACTCCCAGCATTCCTCAGATAAACTGGGTGGACTTCAACTCCCAGAATTCCCCAGCATGCTTTAAAGTGGAAGGACTCCAATTCCCAGAATTCCCCAGCAGCAGGTTTTAAAATGTGTAAATTGCAATTCCCAGTTCTTCATAGAGGAAGGAAAACTTACAATCACTTGTTTAGTGTCTATTCTGAGTTACAATGGCACTGAAAAAGTGACACGTCCATTTTTTCACACTGACGACCGCCATGTGATCAAAATTTGGACGCTGGCTTGCATATACGACGGTTGCAGTGTTCCCGGGGTCATGCGATCCCTTTTTTGCGACCAGTTAAGTTAATGGGGATTCATTTAACAACGGTGATGCTCATATAACAACCGCAGTGATTCACTCAGCCATTGTGGGACGAAAGATCGTAAAATGGGACAAAATCCACTAAGCGAGAGAAATATGGGACTCATTTCTGGCTGTAAGTGGAGGACTGGTCGTAAGTCGAGGATCAAGCCACGAAATGGGCCCAGCCGAGGTTCCATCGGGTTTGGCGTCGGTTGTTCGTCGCAGCTCTTCAACATGGACGTGAACAAACACGCCATTACCTGGTGACGCTAAAGCATTTCGCCAACGCTCTCTTAGAGTCAGCTGAGCTGGAAAGGAGACCACCAGGTAACTCTCTTCCAGCCCCAGTTTTAAAATTTTTATTTTCATTCCCTCGAGGGGAAAAAATGCCGCACGCGTTTCGAACCAGGGTCGTTTGAGAAAAGCTGAACGTTGTAGAGTGATGGTTTGGGGGGGGGGACACCCCAAAATTCCACAAACCCCATTCCTGGGATTGGGGTCACGGGCCACTCACTGACTGTAAGAGAGGAAGGCAATGAATTTCGTCGGGATGGGCAGATGGGGGATTTTCTCCAGAGCCTTTTGGCCGAGAGCGCGACGGAGGCTGAGACGGCAGAGTTGAGTCAGCCTCAGTGGATTCCCTGGTGGTTGGGAGAAAGAAAGAAAGAAAGAAAGAAAGAAAGAAAGAAAGAAAGAAAGAAAGAAAGAAAGAAAGAAAGAAAGAAAGAAAGAAAGAAAGAAGAAAGA